CCCCAAAACCCCAAAACCCCAAAACCCCAGATGAACCTCGGCTGGTTGAAAGTAAGAAAATAATTATTAGTTAAAAGGTACTGTATTTTAGAGAAAATTTCAGCACAGAAATTCGTTAAAATTTAGGATGGTGGTAGTTCTACTTGACTTTTAGTCCGATCTAAAGTTAGAAGAGGGCTAATCAAAATGAAGTTTTCGAACTTCTGATACTAAAGAAGGCAAGGAACTTTCTGATGATAGTATCTAGATGTGGTGAAATAGAATCGAAGGTACTAATAAAAGATTCATGAAATGATACTCAGCATGCAAATTTATAAACATAAAAATTCTAATCACTCCTACTGGTGCTATATGGTTAATAAAAGAAGTTGAAAACCTAGGATAAAGGATGTGGTGATTTTATCAAGTTCTTTATAGTTTCTTTAATTTTAGCTGAAATATTGCTAGGCTTGTATAAACACTAAAAACATTCAAATTGTAACAACCAATTTTTATTGCAATGCAAAATACAAAGAACCAGAATATTATAGAGAATATTACAATTCGTTATGATTTTTCCCTGTTTCATAACTCATGTTGTTAAATAAATCTGATAAAATTCTTCTTTTTGGTTGATTACTCAAATTACATATCGAGAACCACAACTCCTCAGCAGCTTTGGAGATGCTTGGTAATTCTTGACCAAAAGGTAACTTCTTGAAAGCGGCTTTTAGCCTGCTTGAGCTATCACAAAGAGTTCTAATTGCCTTTTCATTCTGACAATTGTAGATCCAATATTTACACTTTTGAGGCCTTGAGGTCTTTTCTTTCTACCATTTGTATTCCAGTTGGAAATTATATTTTTCCACTTTCCTTCTGATTTGTTCCATGAGATCTTTGGTCCATGAACTTCTCCTATCACTCCTTCCATCTGCTCTTTTATTCCCTGGAAATCTGTTTCTTTTCATCTTTTGATCTGCCTTACATAATTAGAAGATTAGGCCTCACCACCTCCGCCCAATCCCTAATATTCTCTTCTGCCTTTTTCTGGTACTCTTTCGATGCTTGGTAGCTGCTCCTGGCTTAATTTCAGGAGAATTCCAAAACTCTTTTTTAGAATGTTAGTAAATTATTCGTTCGTCCTATTTCGCCAAATTCATTGTTGGGTCACTTGGTACAAGCAGAATTACTGGCTATTTTAACTTATATAACAGTAAAAATTATAATTTTATGATGGCTCTTTTATTGTGGAATGAATATAGATTAAAGAAAGAATCAAAATTTAGATTTTTCTAGTAGAAAAGGTAATTATCAATAATTAGCTATTTAGATCTTCTTTATTCCAAAATTAACCGATCACTAATGTTTTCTCTGACTTGGAGTAATATCCACGCTTCTATTTCCAACTAAACATTTAGTTTGCTCAAATTTTAGTTGACTTACTCTCTGAAGAAATTTCTGAATTTTCATTTTCCTCTAGCATCCCTACTTTAATTCTGACACTACAATGGGTTTTGTGGCCAGCATCTGATCCTAAATATGAGGTATGAGGATTTACCTTTGCTACTATTTTCTTCCTTATTTAAGCTATCCAAGGTATCCCTTTCTAAATCAGGAATCTCAGATGTTGAATGAGAAATCACATTAATCTCATCAATGAAACTTTTCACTTTTCTGAAATCGCACTCTACATTTGGACACTGTAAGGAAGTCTCAGCTTGGATAGTGAATTCTTTGTTGAGCAATTTATAAGTCCCTGCTTTTTCTTTCAATAAAATTAACTCTAAGTTGTAATCATTCATGAAAGCTTCTGAAAGGTTGGGCCTAAAGTATAAAGATACTTCCTTACTCAGTCTTAGTAGGAGTTTTGAATTCCTGAGAGTAAGAGTCTATAACTTCTCATAAGTGCTTGCATTTCTTTTCAAGGAACCCCAAGTCCATGCGAAGTGAAGTTTCATAAGAGTTCACCATACTTTTGTACTTAATCTTCAATAATTCTTCTTTAAAATCTAGCTCCTTTCTTAGCTTGTTAAAAAATAGAGTAAGCTGTGAGAGGTTGTCTGCTTCTTTAATTTCCATCTGGATTAACCCTTTCTGAGTTTTTTTTAAGAGATCCGAATATCTTTGAAGGTAAGACTTAATTCCAGTCATCTGCTTGTGTGTTTCAGAAGAAGCTGGATGACAAGAAATCAAGTCATCCACTCTTAACATTGAATAAAAGATGTCATTGACCACACAAGTTTCCTTAGGCTTCTTGATAGGCTTCAAATCTGGTTTTAGTGCAGACTTTGGAGAATTCCTAATTCATTTAGAAGGGAGATGCCCTAAAGCCTGATTCTTGCCTTTATCCATATCAGAGGCATTTAACTGATTATGACTTAAGCTGTATTTTAAAATACCTCTCTTGTTTCAGTTAGTATCAATTTTAAGATTTCTCCTTTTTATTGCTGAAAGCTGGTTACTTTTTCTACGAAAAATAGTAGAATTTGAATTCCTTGAGGAATTATTGGGGATAAAGGAGTTCTTATGAGGGTCGTTTATCCTTGAAGAGCTTTTATTAATTGTTGTCTTTGAACTATTTATATATAAGATCTCAATTACTTACTTTTCCTGATTAAGATTCGGTATATTAAGAAATTCTTGGGGGCTCATTGTCATTTGGTTTGTACTCAAAATAGGTATCCTACTCTTCCTATTTCATCTGTTAGACATAGGCGTGAAGGTTCACTCACTTAATTTTAGCATTGGTTTTATTTATCAGATTCTTCCCTGTCAGACAAACTTCCTGAAGAGCTTGATAAGCTCTTTTTATTCATCTTTGTAAGCTTTGTCAGGGGTTTGCTCTTAATTTTTGAGTTTATTCCTATCGCTGACTTTCTCTTAACCTAAGCAAAGTGTTACTTTGTGCTAACTAACCTTTATAATCTTAAATTTATTTCTTTTTGATAGAATGATTTTCGAAGGTTCAGGAGTATCATTACTTCTGCTCTTATTTAGTTCTTTCAAAAGTAAAACATTCTATTGCGGTAAAACGACTGGATTTACTTGACTTTTATTAGCATTAATATGTCTTAGCTCTAGAAAGCTTTCACTTCTCTGATTCCTGAGCCGTCTATAAAGATCACATCGGTTGTCTTTACTTGGCGATAATGTTGGGGAAATCTATAACGATGTAAGAGTCAGTTTAACAAAGCTTTAGAATAAGAATTAATTCAAAATGATGAGATCAATTACCTTTTTCGTTTAAGGTTCCACTTAAAGTGCTCCCTTTAGTCCTTTGTCCCTCTACAAGATCATTTCTAAATTTCTTACCGATATCATTCTTAAGCATCTCTAGCTTCCTGAAGGATTTGAGTAAGCTAAAATAATATTATTTCTGATAAATAAGTAAATCATGAGTCTCATTAAAGAAGCTAGTATCCTGAGAGATTCTTGAAATTATTGGGTTTTAGTTTTGTAACTATAATACTCAAAGCTTGAAGATTATAGTCGTTTTGAATTAAATTAGATTTTTATCATAAGCCGGTCTATTGACTCTGGGAAGTAAAAATAAAGTCAGATTAAGAGCAAAGAGGGAAATTAGGGAGCCAGAAACAAGTAATTATAGGAGAGATAAGGAATGAGAAAGATCTCAGACATTTAGAAGGCATATACTTTGAAGTTTTGGGAAATCAGTCTATGTAGTGTATTTAGATAGTTTTTGGAAGATTTAAAGAGAAATTAACAATTTAAAGAATTGACTTAAAATAAAGTTAATGAAGCTAGTATAGATTTCTCTGAAAAAGATAATTTTCAGACCAACCTTCCTTTGATCTCTACAAGAAGGCTACTTATAATGCATCCTGTTAATATTTGATAGAGCTGAGTTCTCTCCAATTAATAAAATCCTTCCATTTCTAAAAGTCTTATGTCAAATCATAGACTTGATGGAATGAATAAATAAGTCTAAAGAATTGCGAAGAAAGTCCAGTTGGATAGATTTTGGCATGCAAATAGCTTTGAATTTCATATTAATCTCAAATAAGTTCAAGTCTATTAGTTGCTTCTATTCATTGATTTAGATCGAACAAGAAGGCTTGCGATCATGATTGATGGGACTCAATTAGTAAATTATGGAAGAGATGGAGTAACCGAGACCTCATTAAGCCAAGTTTACTTAAATGAATTAAAGAACAGCTATTCAATTTTTAGATATAGATGAATCTTATATAAAAAAACGGTTTATTTGTCCGAACTATTTAGCAGTCACTATCATTACAAAGAGTAAAGAAATATTTCTTAGTGATGCCTTCATGATTATCATAAAGGCTGATAGCTTTCTGGTTTAAGAAAATTCCTTAATTTGAAAAGACAGTCCCAAGAAAATCTTTTTACCATCAATCAAAACTTTGCCCCATAAAATCTAGGTCCTTCTTGAATGAGGAAAGAGCTTCATTGGAGCTCTGCTCCAACCCCTTATTCTACCTCTCACGATAAAAACATAAAACCCATCCTTAATTTACCCTCTATAACAACCCCCCCTCAAACCCCTCAAAAATGTAACAACAAACCCCACCTCTCCCCCTCCTCACCTCCCTCCCCCACCTTCCCCTCCCCCCTAAAATTCCATCCCTGCAATCCCCCAGTCTCTCTCTCATCCCAAATTCAAAAAATCTCAAAATTTCACCAAAAATGTCTCCTTTATTTCTCAACTTGTGGTATGATAAGTTTAGGGAAAAGGCGTGTCTAGGAGTAGAGGAGGGAGATGGAGTGAGGGAAGCAGGAGAGGGGGTAGGAGGGGTTATGGGGAGTGCAGGGGGTGCAGGGGGTGCAGGAGGGTGATTTGGTGGGGTGGTTTGAGAGGAGTTGAAGGGGAGTTGAAGGGGATGATAGAATTTGTAAACTGTGTTTTAGGAAAATATTTTTTTTATAGATTTTTGTACGGATGATGGGAAATTAATGTTGGGTGGAGTTTGGCATTCAAATTGGAAGAACAGAATTTAGAAAGAGCTTGGAAAGAAGGCCCAAGTTGATTGACTTAATTTAAAGGTGTCGCCAAATATCTAGTATTATTTATTTTTCTTAAAGATGCTATACCACCTCGATTTTCTATTAATAATGGAATCGTCACCTGGTGAAGCTAAAGAGCTAATAAATTAATTATCAAATGGATAAATAACTTAATAGGCCCAAGGCATGCTTAATTTTCGAAAATCATTATCAGAAGTTCTTTCTGCTAATTTTGATATTTAATAAGTACTACCATAATCTTACCCAAATACCAACACAAACAAATCCTAAGTCTTTTTTCCCTCCCTAACCACCTCAAACTCTATTCCCACCCCACTATCCCCTTCTATCACCCCTCAATCACTCTAATCCCTATCTTCCCTTTTCCTCCGAAACAATTTCTAGTTAATGACACTTTTGGTGTGTTCGCCGCTTTTAGGCTCCCTTTGGCACTTACGTTTTTTTACGGTCTCTTAGCTTGCTCCTGGAGGCTCTGCGTGGCTTGGATTTTGGAAAGGGGGTTTTGGAAGGAGGGAGGAAGGGTAGGGCTATATAACATCAATTGCCATAACCATTTTCAAAAGAGATCCTAGTAAAACGTCATATATTTCCAACTAAAATATTTTCTTGTCTCTAATTTTCTAAGTCAAGCTAAAAATATCTAAGTGAGTTTGCTAACTTGGGATGTGAGAAAATTGGCTGTGACCAATTTTGGAGAAATTTCGAGTTTTGATGAGGGGTAGGGTAGGGATGTGGGGGCTGGGAGGGGCTGTGGGGAAGGAAGTTTTGATAGGATTTTTTATGGGGAATTTGAAGGATGTTTTATGGGGGATTTTAGGTTATGAGAGGGTTTTGAGGGTTTAGAATGAAAGAAAAAGGATTGGTTAAATAATGGAGGGGATTAATTTTTGGTGAATTCATGTTGATTGGAAAAAAAATGTAAATAGGGGTTAAGAAAAGGGTAGCTATATTTTTACCTGTTTTCGTGCGTCACTCAGCAGATTTGTAAAAGATATCCTCTGACATCTCCGGGACTTCTAGCCTGTTGTTAATCGACTTGATTTTTTCATTTGGCATACAATTATAGCAAAAAGGTAGCTTTATTTGGAAACTGATATCTGATTTTTCTTTCTCGTTAGAGGACGATTTATTTTTAGTCTTCATTTGTGGCTGGACACTATTATTGTCGATATACTGAAGATAAGTCTTGGGGTAAAACTGCTGGCATGCAAATCATTTATCTTTTTCCTTGTTTTCTATTGACATATTTTAATGATATATTATTGCTGCTCAACATCTCGCTAATAAAAGGGGTTTTGGGGTTTTGGGGTTTTGGGG